GTTGTTTGGCGGGTCCGGGCTGGGGATTCGAACCCGCCACCTTTAGGTGTACGTGGCTGGCGCCTTAGCCGGTTGAGCTATAGGTGCCGAGCCTTATGTCTTGTTTTTAAGTAGATAAGGCGATGGCAGAGAACTCCCCACATTTGTTGATTGCCTTCAGCTCCAAATAATTCTTATGCAAAAGTGGTATGTTGGGGATGACATAGTCTGATCACCTTCAAGGATCAAATCAAGAAAGGATTAAAAGGGTAGGTGATGGGTGGTACCGGACAGGACTTCTCCTCGGGCCCCTATAAGATGATCTTGGATGCTTTCTGTGAATCACAGTCGGCCAGGAGGGTAGAAATTATAGGGAAGGAAAGGTCCTGCAAGGAGATGTGAGAACAAAAGCCTAAAACCTTTGTTTAGGTTTGGGAGACCAATTGGACAAGGCTGGGTGAAATTTGGATGTGGCTGATCAGAGAAAGGGAAGCGTGCAAGATGGAAGCAAGCTGTCTGGTTTGAGTTATTTGCAGTTCCCTCCCTGGGAGTGGAGCAATATTGGGGTTTCTAGCCCACCATCCCAGAAGAAAATATGCTAGATATAAAGTGGGGCCAAACAAATAAGAAATGGGGGAAACTAGGTTCACCTCAACCAAAGGGGTTGTCAACCAAGGTCCCAACTTCCATCCCAGTTGTGGGTCAAGAATTGAGAGTTCCAGGAGCACAACATGGAGGCACGGCTTTTCACAAACCTCACACCACAGGGTCATCCCCCCTTTCCTCACTATCATTAATCTTTTCCTTTTTATAGGATCCCTCCCTCCATTATTCAGATATGGCTAAATGGCTCTCATTTTTAAGACAAAAAGACTTTCTTTTGACCCCCTATCCTCCTCCAGCTACTCCCTTCGCTGTCTCTCTCCTTTGCCAAAGACTTGTCTTCAGCCGCTGTCTAATTCCTCATCTCCCCACTCACTTCTCCCCCTCCCCAGTCTGGCCTCTGTTCCAATCACTCCCCCAATCCCTTTCTTCTTCTGTGTTGCTAACACCCGTGTATGCTTTTCTGTTTTTATGTTATTTGACATCTCAGCAGGACTTGACAGATTCAACTACTCTCTTGAAGCACTTTCATGTTTTGGCTTCTATGACAACACAAATTTAGCGGCTATGGGAGTTCTGAGGGAATTTAGTTTGGATTAACACATGTAACAAAAATCTTAGTCTGATCCCCGTACAAATTTTTGTCTAAAAAGTTGTGAGCAGCAGACCCAAACTGAGGCCCCCTTAAAACTTAAGTCAGCAGCCTTCTATACTATCTTAAGTATCTTTTTTTTTTTTTTGAGACGGAGCCTCAAGCTATCCCCCTGGGTAGAGTGCCATGGCATCACGCTCACAGCAACCTCCAACTCCTGGGCTCAAGCGAGTCTCCTGCCTCAGCCTCCCAAGTAGCTGGGGCTACAGGCGCCCGCCACAACGCCTGGCCATTTTTTTGGTTGCAGCCGTCATTGTTGTTTGGCGGCCCGGGCTGGGGATTTGAACCCACCACCTTAGGTGTATGTGGCTTGCACCTTAGCCGCTTGAGCCACAGGCGCCGAGCCTATCTTAAGTATCTTGATGTAAAGGGAAGCCAGAAATCAATGGCCAGTTTCAGTGCCCTGCCATCCTGGAATATCCAGGGTCACAAACAAACTCTCACTCTTCATAAATTAATACTCATTGGACACTGTTCTAATTAGTTTACATGCATTGACTAAATTAAACCTCACTGCAAGATTGCAGGCAAAGGTAAATGGTACCCCTAGTATCCGATTTTATAGTTGGGGAGACTGACAAACGCAGTTGGTTAAGTGCAGAGCTGTGCTGAAAAATCCAGGTAGTCTGACTGCAAATTTGACACTCTTAACTACTATGCTACCGTGTGAGAGGCATGTCAAGGTTAGTGTGAAACCGCTAGGCCCACGAGTCACATGTTACCCAGTCCAAGGTCAGTATAGACCAGAGAGTCAATCACTGATGCAACATGACTGCAGATGATTTTTCAAAATTAACTTTTTTATTAATTTAAAAATCCAGAAATACAGTGACTACATAAATAAGTACCATATTGCGGTACATGTCCTGTGAGAAGAGTGAGAGGGTAATACTGTTATGTTACTCTTACTTGTATACATGAGTTAACTAGAAAATGGCTACAACTGCTAAATGGTGCTTATGGTCTTTGTTGTTCCAAGTGTTTATGATACAAATAAATACACACGAAGAACCACATCCATTCTTCTCTACTAACTACAGGCAGCTTGGCCTCTTTTCTCTATGTCCTACTCCCTACACAACACCAAACACTGGAAGGTTTCTACGCTGACTTAACACAGCTCCCTGGCTCCTGCTTCCTGCAGTACTTTGGAAAGGTGTGTCCCAGCACCTGAGGGCAGGAGTCTATCTAGGGAAGCTCTCTGGGTGTTCCCTTAAGGCTGAGCTTTCAGAGAACACCTGGGTGGGAAGGCTTTGGGGTGAATCATCAGGAAGGGGAATCACCGCCTTGCTTCAGGGTCCGGTGACGGGTCTGCACATTATGGAAATACTGCCACCTCTGGGAGGCAGGCAGCAGCTGCTTAAGCCTCCCCCTCCACACACACGATAATGCTCTGCCCCGCATTTCCTATCTCCCTCTTCCAAGAATGTGTGGTGGCCTGGTGAGTGGCCTGTCTTATGAAATCCTGACCACAAGGCCCTTGTGTGCTTTCATGAGAACCAACTCCTTTACATCAGGTTGCCATAAAGACCAGACCTTTTACATTTTCCCCTATTGGTGTTGAACACTCTAAGGAATAAAAAGTTCTCTCACTTATGGTCATGGCGCAGGAAATATGGGATTTCTGGGTCCTTAATACATTACTCTAAGTACTCACTAGAGTTCATTCACGTCCCTCAGAGGGAACGACCAATCTAGAAGGTAGACTTGATGTCTTTGCTGGGAAGTTTCCCACAAAGATGATTTCTAAAGCCAGACCTCAGACTAGATCATTTATGCTCTGGTATTCGGCTGCAAGTAGACATTTTCGGAGCAGCCTTCTCCAGAATCCTTGATTAAAATTCACATTTGATGGACAAGGCAAGGATGGTAGGAAGGTTTAAGAAAGATATTTTTCAGACTTCCTAGCTCCCTAAGAAGGAAGAATAACTTTCTTAACACACTGCAGAAGCTAGTGAGGACTGAGCCACCCCTGTAAGTGGAGACAAAGGGAAAATGCCCTTTTAAGGAGCTTTCACAATTTAATCATTTAACCTTAGTTTTCCAGCTAGACAACTGTGGCCTTAAGAAAATTAGTGAGTACTGATCTATTAATTGATGGATTGTTTTGATGTGAAAACAAAAAGATGGCCTTTTTTTACTTCTATCAACTCTTTTCTTCAACACTTACTTTGTCTTTCTGGATTCAGTTTCTGAAGATTTTACTTAATTCTCACTTCCTTCTGGAGGCCCCGCAAGTTTAGGGAGAAAAGAGAATGGGTATCATCAGGGGTAAGTTATTTACCACATCTCAGTGGATAAGGCCATGAAATGGATGTTCTTACTCTTCACCTTACCACTCCAGTTGGTGACTTCAGTAGCCACATTAGAGACCTAAGGGCAGAGCCTTCTACTCACAATTCTTTATGTATTCTCCTGGGCACTAACACCCTCCAAGCTACTTACTTGGGAGCCGAGAGAGGGAAAGTGCAGGAGGGTCTCGGCTAGCTCTGCCTCAGAATGGAGGCTGTAGTTTAATGTGCACGTGGGTGTGCATGTGTAGGTGTGTGTATGAGGATGGGGAGTCAGTTGTTTTTTAAAACACAAGACATTCTAAAATCCAAAGAGTATAATTTCATACAAGTAATTGTTCTATATTCCAGAACTCCTACTAAGCAATTCCCTTCTCTTTCTTTTGTTTGAGTACCTTTCTAAATCGAAACCCTGGGGTTTTGTTTGTCTTTAACCTGTGAAGAAATGTGATTCTCCAAGAAACTAGAGAGCAGTGTTATGGTGCTCTATCCCTCTTCCTCCTGCAAAGAATTCAAGACTCTTCTAGTCTTTTCGGAGGAGATGTTCAAGGGCTGACACACCACTCCACATAAATGAGCAAGTTATGCTGTGCATGGCGTGAATAACTGACTGCATATGAGTTTGGGGTTTTAGGGCACTGTTGACTTAAGCAAACTAAGCCTGCAGTCCAGCTGCAGCTTGAATTTTTTTTTTTTTTTTTTTTTTGCTTTACCCTATCCAATACTGTCTGTCTCACTTAACAGTGGCCCTTTTCAGATCTCTCTAGGTACAAAACCTTGACCAAATCTTCAAGCTCTGTTCTGCACACACGACTTGAACACATCTGGCTGATTTGAGCTTCTCCTTCGGTGAATATCTTCCACTGGCCTAAAAGGCAAACAGAGTGGCCAGAAGAGAGTGTAAAAAGAGAGCAGAGCAAAATAGGAATAGACCCAGTATACCCCATCCTTACCACCTACTCATGGACCCCACCAGGGCAGCTGAAATACACATGCCAGGTGGTTTCAGGAAAACAAGTCTCCAAAACATTTTTCTGGGAGCAGATATGCAAAATGGGCCACCAAGTTTTCATTTCAACACGAAGCATTTGTAAGAATCCCAGGACTAATACATGATTGCCTCCTCAAGAGTAAAAGCGAAGTATTATTCTGGGAATTTTGACAGTACATTTAGCCTCTGTAAAATGCTCCACTACTTGTTTGTTAGCTGTGTTAGGTGGCTTATCTGACGCCAGATCAAAAAAGGGCATTTTGAAAAGCGGTACCTACTGCATTACTGGAGCTCTGTTTGCTCTTAGCGGCCTCAAATATTGGTCTGGGTTACTTTATTATTTACCACTCTTCTCTGTTCCTGCCACCCTTTGTCAAAACTTCTCACCTCTGCTTTCTCTTAGGTCCACATGCTGTCCTTACACCCCCTTTGCGCCCCTAAGTCCCCTCCTATGGCTCCTTATAGTGTTCTACTCTCTCTACCCCATGGGATCCCTTTCCAGTTTAGATAAACTCGGCTGCCCTGCTTCCATTTCCTGTTGTCTCTGCCCACTCTTGGATACCCTCCTCAGTCTTCCTGTCATTCCCGGGCTCATGGTGCTATAACCCAGAGAACTCCTAGTCCAAGGTGAGCAAACTTCTTTTAATTCTAACAAAAGAGGTTTGGAGCCTCTTTTCTTTCCCTAACCACATGAAAATATGAAAAATACGAAAATACGAAAAACCCCTTCCCTATGGACTCGATTTCTCTGCCCCCCTTTCCCTCGGATTCCTCCCTTTTTCCTATTCTCTCTGACTCAGTGGAAAGGTAGAATGGAAAAGGAGAAGAGGGGTTGGGCAAGGAAGCAGCTTTGACTGAATCTCTATCATGTGCTAGGCTCTGGTGGGCACATTATATGGAGGGGTCAGGCTTGTTCTTCTTTGTTTCCAGGTGGTCCTGTAGGATATCATGACCCAATTCCTTCCACTGCACACAGTTTGAGGCACACACCATCTACTCCATGATACAACCCAAATCTTGCTCTGGGCACAGAGTACCTCTTCAAGTCCTCTTGGAGCCTAGCACAGTACCTTGGTCACCGTATGAACTAAAAGATATCACTTCAAACATCATGTAATTGATCCTGAGATCCTAGACCAGGTGTCCTCAAAATACTGCCTGCAGGCCACATGCGACCCGCCTAGGACATTTATCTGGCCTGCCGGGTATTTCTGCCCCCGCTGCCTGTCCTGCTTAGCAGCTGACTCATCCCGGGGCCCACAGTCCGGCCCTCCAATGGTCTGAGGGACACTGAACTGGCCCCCTGTTTAGAAAGTTTGAGGACCCCTGTGACCTAGACTCTGCCTCCTCAGTTCCTCACTCACATGTGAGGACCCCCAACTCCTCCATTTGAATTCTCATACTGTCCAGTTTATTTTCTCCCTGTCTTGCAGAAGAGAAACAATTGACCCTCATCAACTCTCTTTGCAATTACCTATTGGATAACTCTGCTCAGATGGCCCCTAAGCCTCTTAATTTAAACATGTTCCACGTGAAATTATTTTTCTTTCTTTCTTTTCTTTTCAATACCTACTTACTCATCACTTTTCCTCACTGGCATTAGTATTCACCCAGTCTATAAAGTTGTTAATATTGGAGTCATTCCAAACTCATTTCTCTCTTTGATACTCATCTTGTTGATTTAACCACAGAAATGTCTTACAGTGACCTCTCCTCCCCCGTCTCAATGATTTAATATACTATAATCACTTTCCAATTCAGATCATCACCAGCTTTTTCACTAATAGTCTACTTTTCACTCCACACAGTAAGAACCTCTTTCTTAAAAACATATCTAAATGTACTGATCACTTGCTTAAAATCCTCCACTGGGATTCTCTGGCCTGTAGATCAAATCTAACTTCTTAGCATGGCGAATTGGGCTCCTCATAATCTGGCTTTATGAAAGTAAGTGCTTACTGAATCCATCCGATAGCCCAGAGACATCTTTCCAAAGCACCATTTGACATCACTACCATTGGTAAATTTGCAGCAACTACCAGTGCTACTTGCCTTACATCTGACCTTTTTACTGGGTTCTTCCAGGTCCTCTGACTACTTCCTACCTCCAAAGTCTTCTCATCTCTTAGTGCACCCTCTATGGCCTTTGTGATCATTCCTCACCCCCACCCACATTTCTTGTTTGCTCCTGTCTGAGTCTTCTTTTAGGCTACACCCTCTTCCTGGCCTGATTTCCTGACCTGTTGCCCAGTCACGCCCTTCTCTTTCAAAACACACCTCCTCCCCGAAGCCTTCCCCGACTAAGCCCACCTGGCTCTCATCTTATTGTTCTTTGCAGATTCCCCTGAGCACTTAGGTATTTAACTCCTCAGAACTATACTAATTCATACTGAAGACATTTTCATGTTCTGTCTCGCCCATTAGAATTCCCTGTGGATAGAAATTGTGTGCCTTTTCTTCCACTGCAAGTGCTGCCCAGGCCCTGTGCCTAGTATCTAGTCCCCAGGCTCCACCTAGTGTAGAAAGTGGGAGAGCTACAAGTCTTCTTAAGTGCTTGAATGTTTTAAAGAAACATTACCACCCAGGGCCGGTTCCCAAAGAGTCAAAGAGCTCCGATACCACATGGGAATTGATATGCATTCATTTTCTCGCTGTCTCTCATACCCACTACCAGAGGACATAGCCTTCCAGATGTAAGTCTCCAAAAATATTCCTGATGTGGAATCTTGTGAACCTCTCCAACCGTCTTGAGACTCTGGGCTTAGCAGTTTCATTAAAGACATTCAGGAAGCCTTGACCTGAAGCAGCTTATGCTCAGAACACATCTGGGTTTGTATTCACACGTCCAAGCTTTTCAGATCAACTTCATTCAGACAGCCCATTCACTAAGTCACCAGGAGGAGAGACAGAGTATCCTCTAATGGTGACCCTGAGTGCTGCTAAGGTTCACTGAGAATGCACAGGGACTTCAGGTAATGGCTGTGCTATGTTGAAAACTGGATGTGTTTGCCAGGAAGGAGTGAGGAGAGGTACCACTTACTCAGGGTTGTCCTGGTCACCAGCTTGAAGTGATGAAGCTCCTCAAACATCCTCTTGGAGATCTTCTCAATATGAAAGTGCTGGAGAATGCCTGGGAGCAAGCAAAACATGGGGGCAGGTGGTCAAACACTGTATTTGGAGACACCAACCCCTTTTTCTGCTTGGACTGAGCATATCATCTCATTACTAGGGCTTAAGAGTATCGAGCTGGGCTGTGTAATGTGCTTAACAGGGAACTTGGATGGCTCAAGGGTTATAACTGACTCCAGTTGTTTCCTTGGCTCACTGGCTTCCCCTTGGCTTCTGCAGGAGATGAAGATAAGGAAGATAGTGCTGCTCACTGGGGGACCCCCCTTCCTAGGGAAAGCTGCGTGGAGTCAAGCATGGGCGCTGGTTGGAGCTTCCGCAGCCAAAGACGGTACTAGAAATTCTAATCTTGCCCCAAATCTGGGTAGACTATGTCCCTGCTCAACCACTGGGCTGCCCTCCTGGCTAAGAAATGGCAGCTGGCTGGCAGTAGGACTGCAGGCAGGTTGTCTGTGTAAACGGAGAAGCCACTCCTGCTCCTGAATTCACTGAAAAGCAGATTTTTCTTTGAGAAATATTCATAGCTCCTTTAGCCTTCCCTTTTAAAAAATGGGGAGAGTTAAAATAGAGTGGCCACCAGTCTCAACTTCGGCTAAATAGCGTTTATCACAATAAAAGGTAAATCACTGACAGCTGCCTTGTGTGGGGGTCATTACGAAAGTTTTGATATACACAAAAATCAAGAAATGTAAAATCCACATGGACAAAAACAAGTGAAGCCCTTCCAGCAACACCCAGAAGTTGAGCAGGTTGAAACTTGCATGGGTGAATCAGAAAAGATGCTGTTGACTGTGTTTCTTGGACGTGAAATAATGGACCACAACACAGTCTGTCTCAAAACTTTCATAGTGACCTACACACTAAGGGACATCGTGTTGTAGCCCACTTACATAATCCTTAAGTGATCTATTTAGATGGGGCAAGGTAGATGAAGCCTGAGTTTTTTTCTCTGTCCACCAAGCACAGACCTTGATAACCCAGCACTGTGAATAAATGGATATTTAGATGCTATGCTAGCAAGTGGAAAACCATCCACACTCCTCTGTGGGGTGAGAGATGTGGGGTGCCGAATAGTGGACCCACTGCTGGGGAAGCCAAGAGACCTGTGCCTAGTCCTATGCAATCAATTAGGGATGATCTGGGGAACTGAAAACACAAAATAAACACTCCTATGTATAGGGCAAAAAATAAGCATAGATAGGAAACATATGTATGTTCAAGCATCTTTTTTAAGCAGGAGGGAAGAACTCATTCTTTAGTGAAAGAAAGGCTGTTATGAAAGGAGACAGGAAAATAAGCTCTATAAGTACTAGAACAGTGTTTCTCGAAGTATCATCCAAAGTGCCACCTGCATTAAAATCATATGCCTATTTGTTAAACACGCAAATGTTCAGACCATATCCAAGGTCTACTGAATTTGCATCTCTGGGATGGGGCCAGTTATGTGCATTTTAAACCAGTTTCTTGCATGATGCTGAAGCATACTAAAGTTTGTGCACTCTTGAGCCTGATGTGGGAGCCAGTAGCAAAAAGATGTGTAATATTTTCCAATTGAAATAGCACCTCTACATTTGGATTCCTAGAAAACCTAACCCAACTAATCATGAACCTGTTGAATAGTTAGAATAGCTATAAGATCACAATAAACAGAATGTGACTGTGGTGGTCCCTGTGACTAATCAGAAAAGGAGCTGGACATCCTGACTGGCATGGTTTCTTCAGTGAGACTACTGTAACCGTCTTGAGGGCAGGGATGATGGTTTAAATTTGCCTTACCTTAGAATATACAGCATGATTCTAGGGACTCGGCTTGGCACTGAATGAATGGATTTTCATGTTTGTTGAGTTTTACCGGAAAGAATGGTAGACTAGAGTTTGGTAGTCTGCAACCCTGGCTGCACATTAGAATCACCTATGGAGCTTTAAGAAAAAACACTGATGCCTAGGCCCCACCTCAGACCAACTAATCAGAATCTCTGGGGGCAGGACCAAGACATTTTATATTTTTTTTTTTAAACCAAAAACTCTCCCTGATGACTCTAATGTGTAGCCAGGTTGAGAATCACTTCTCCAACTTTATGTGAAATGAGAAAGACACTCTTGGAAACCCTGGGAGTCAATACTTAATCTTTAGCACAGGCCATGGTAAATTTGTAGGCCATGATGCCAACTGTGTTGGACATGTGTCAGTTTTTGAGCAATCAGAAAAACTCTGACCCCGAGGAACTGGTTGAAGCAAAATTAAGATGTGTCTTACCTTTTTTCTTTGTGCCCCCCTTGCAATGACAAGAAATGAATGTTGTCTTACTCACCCTTTCGAATGGTCCATACATGGACCTCTACCTGAGGTGGTCTCTCAGTCTCCAGTGCTATTTTTCTGGTAGTTTCTCCATCCTCCATGAACACAGACTCATACACAGGCATTGTTTCTTCTCCGCAAAAGTAGCCTTTGTTGTCAAAGCTTTGGCCTGGAAGTTCTTCTGGAATCAGGAAGCAAGTAGAGTTTTGTCATGATTTCTAAAAACCAGAAGTAAACTTGTGCATTTGTCAATCTCACTGTTTATAACATCTCACACTTACCAAAAGTGGACAGTTAACAAGAACATTCTTTCAGAGACAGAAATTCCACTCCTAGTTCATTAGCCTAGCTTAGATTGCCCCTATAACCACTACCAAATCCAAAGGACCACATAACCTTTGAATGAAGTCCATACCCTGACAGAATCCACAATCCTGTGGAACATTGGCCCCCTACCACTGTCACTAAGAAGTGGACTTTCATGAGAAGGAAAAATGTAGCCAGGTACAAATTTCTTAGGCACTTAAGGAAACGTAGAATTTTCCGTACTGGGTTAGGATCATGTTCTGTCCAACCCAGTGTTGCCAAGAGAGGCCTCAGAGAATGGGCTGACAAAGGGCCTTAGTTAACTTTCCTGACATCATTTAGGTATACTTAGAAAACATTCATGACACTCATCTATGTGCATATACTTGCCCAAAGGATCTATCCAAATTGGCTTGACATTTCTGAATGCTCTTCGATTTGTTTGTAAGGGGAACTATAATGCTGGATCAACACCAGTGCCAAAACCTAGATGTCAGATTAGTCATTTGTAGGCAATGCCAAATGAACAGTTGGGAGACACAAAAAAACTGGTCAAATCCCTCAACTATGGATCATTTAATGTGTAAACTAAACCGCTGAATTTCAGCTTCCAGGCACAAAGGTACCAGCCCCCTAGTACTCCCCATTCCACTCCAGCTTCCCCTTTCCGTAGCTGTCTACCAAAAAAAACTTTCTCCTGCTTTGGTTATCAGTGAGTTAAGTTTCTTTGCTGGCCTCGTAATCAGTACCCTGTTCAACTGTGTATTTAAAGTGCATACTTAAATTAGGAACAACAAAGAGAAGACTTGGATACCCTGAAAACTTTGACTATGTGCAGAAGCCATCTGTAAGAATATTTGAATTGTTGTGGATGAAACCGTTGAATGTTGAGTGCTTTGGATCTGTGACTCTAATTAGGGAGACTCGCTGTTAGCCAATCAGACACAATTTGGAATAGAAGTTGTAATCAAATTGCTATTGTATGTCTCTTGGTGACCTGATTAGCTTTCCAGACCCCATCCTCCATTTGGCAACTGTGGTGAACAAAACTCTTCTTCTCCTGATGATTCCAGATTGGATTACTCAATTTGTGGATTATCCTAGACTTAAGCTTCCTTTCTCCTTTTGTCCTTCCCTTTAGCTATTTAATTATTCGGCCAGTCTTTTTGGTGATCTTAGGTAATTATGAGGGTACGGGCTAGCCCTTTTCAAATGGGTGGAAGAAGGGAGGTCACTGAGTATATAGGGAATTCTATGTATTGCATTATCACCTTTAGGATGAGAGCTGAGTTCGTTTGTTAAACTCTGCTCACCAGCTTAACATTGGTTACAACTATAACCAATTTATGAAATCCATGCAGCCACTAGCAGTACCTATAATATGCTAAAAGGTTTCCCTGAAGAGCCTGAAGAGTCATCCTGCTCCACCTCCCTCTCCCCTCCAAAAGCTTAATTTACTGCATAAGAGGGTTCTACAAACAACAAAACCTATTACTGACACAACCCTGGCTGGCACTTGAAAATACTAAGGAAAGAAAAGTTTGCCTTTAGAACTACCTACTTGGCAATACCCTCCACTTTCCATACTCTCCACCTCATGGTGCTTTCTAATCCACTTTCACCTACTCTCATTTTCTTTTGGGGAAGGATGCCATGCTTGAAGTCATTTCTGGCCATTTGCACTTTCCATGAGAATGCTCCTGTTCTGAGGTCTCCAGAACTAAGAAATTGAGAAACCATTACTATGGAAGTGGTGATGACAGATGAAGATGTATTATCCAAGCCCAGGAAACTTTTAAGTCTTAACAGGGGCTTTTATGCCATAACCCCAAAGAGTGTGTAATTACAGGAATTCCAGGTATTGGGGTGGTACAGAGGGTGTGAGTGGTGAGTTGAGGAACCTTCAGGAAGTAGAAGTCTTATCCAACCCTGTAGGTGGCCACTGATATGCAAGACAAAGCCAGCCTCTATGAGCACAAGAGAGGTAAAACTCAAAGCCTTTATTTTGACCCTCATTTGTTATTGTATGAGCCTATGATCATTTGTTACAATGAAACTTTTGGTTGGATTATTAGTTAATTTTATTTACTACACAACACAACTGATTTTACTTTTGTTTTTTGCTTCCATCTTCTTCCCTCCTCACTCACTTGTTCCCTTCTCTCTGTGCCATGTGTTATTATTTTAAGAGGCCAGTGATGTCATGATCATTCCCATTTCTCACCCTTTCACATCACTCAGGATGTTACTCAAGTTCATTTCTTTACAGAAACTTTGCCCAACCATTCTTTTGAAGGTGCTTCTTGCTATCACCACTCCCCCCTCCCCACAATCTCTTAATACTGTTTGGTTTTATTTCACAGTATCCTTCACAATCTAAAATTACCTTATTGATTTAGGTTCACTGTCTTTCTTCTCCACTAGAATGCAAAGACTATGCCAACAAGTAGCCTTTGTCTGTCTTGTTCATCTCTCTGTCCTCAGTGTCTATAGCAGTGTCTTGCATACTGTAGGTATTTAACACGTATATTCAGATTGAATGAATGAATGAGTGCATACCTCCTGATGCTGTGCAGACCTGGAACAAGTGCCCTGGTCTATGTGGATAATGCCTCTGAGGCAATGTGACTACAAGGAGTGGTTCAACATGTCGAAACCCATGTCTGGCCCATTGAGAGACAGATACACAGAATGGGACAGAAACTATCCTTTCATATTGCTCAGTAAATATATTTCTCCACACTGGAGCACAGCAAGGAAGTAGATAAAGCAGCTTTTCCAGAGAAACTGGTTCAGTCAATCAGACTCTTTAATATATTGCCAACTGGGAAGCTGGAGGGCAGTTTTCTAAATGATATCTTTTATTATTTTTTCTACTTACAAAATTAATATGTTATCTACTGAAAATTTAGAAAATAGAAATAAACACAGAAAATGAAAATTA